AAAAAAAAAATTGTAGTTGTAGATGGACAGCATGCCTTTATTTTATTTGTTTATTTTTATGTAGTGTTGAGGATCAAACTCCAGTGCCTCATACATCCTAGGCAAGTGCTCTACCACTGAGTCTCAACCCCAGCCCTCTTCATGTCTTCTTGATACACATGGAACATCATTGGTATGACATCTGAATCCATTCTCCCTCCGCAGGAAAACAGAATGATTTTCCTTGGTTTATCTGTTTATGAGAGAGGAACCATAACAGTAATGTGTTGTTTTGAAGAACAAATATGAAGATTAATACATATTAACTGCTTAAAGTGATACCTGACATACAGTTAAAACTCAGCAAGTATTAGTTATTACTGTTGTGGACTTTTTAAATTCAAAATGTGGGGTGGTTGTTGAGTTCATTTTTTTTTAAGGAATTAAGTTAGTTATGAGACATGTTTTGGTATCATTTAATTTATATACTTTGAGAATTTTTATCGACCCCTCCTTTTAGAACATTTCTTATATTATCTTCTCTATCTTCCATGTAATTTTCTTTTAAATTTTGCTTTATTATATGACATTTCTTTCTTTCTTTCTTTCTTTTTTTTTTTTTTTTTTTTGGTACTGAGGCTTTAACCCAGGGGCACTTTACTACTAAGCTACATCCCCAGCCCTTTTGATTTTTTATTTTGAGACAGGATCTCACTAAGTTGCTTAAGGCCCCACTAAGTTGCTGAAGCTGGCTTTGAACTTGCAATCCTCCTTCTTCAGCCTCCCAAGTTGCTAGGATTTACAGGTATGGACCCCTGCACCTGGCTTTATAGGATATTTTATCAATTTCATCTTCCAGCTCTTCTGTGGTATTCATATCCATTCTCTTCTATTAACTTAATAGTAAAATCCCTGTTTTACAACCAGCACTTGATAATAAATAACTAATTTCCTGACTCCTGCTACAGCTGAGTTTGTTCATATGACTAAGTTCTGGGCAGTGGGTGTAAATGGAAATGGTAAATGAAACACTTCCTGGAAGTCCCTTAAAGGGAAGAGACATAGCTTCTTCACTTCTTGTTCCTGCCTGCTAGGTGGAATGTAGGAGCCCCATTTTCTTATTTCCAGGCATCTTCTGTTTAAGAGCAAACTAAAACTCTAAATTTATTTTATTTTATTTCATTTTTTTATGGAAGTGCAGGGACTTAAACCCAGAGTTGCTCTACCACTGAGCTATATCTCCAGGCCTTTTTAAAGATTTTAAAAGTTTGAGATAGGTTTGGCTAAGTTGCTGAGGACAGCCTGGAACTTGGAATTCTCCTACCTCAGCTCCCCAAATAGTGGAAATTATAGGCCTATACCACTGTGCCTGGATGAAAAACGCTAATTATAAGTTTTTATTTAATTTCTAAGAACTCTTTCTTGTCTTCTGAATTTTTTTTAAGTAGCATTTTCTTCTCATTTAATGATGCAGAATCTTATCCTTAAAGGATATTAATTAAAGGGTTTTTTGTTTCCTTCTTTTTTCATTTCACTTTGTTTCTTACATTGTCTCAGTTTCCACTGAGTTTATTTTTTCCTGTGTGTTTAATTTAATCATTGTCTTTCCTGTTAGATGCTTTCCTCAATTGTTTGATTATCATTGTCCATTCATGATAAAGAATGAGATACTAGCCAGACTCCATGGCACATGCCTGTAATCCCAGTGACTTGGGAGGTTAGGGCAGGAGGATTGCAAGTTCAAAGCAGCTTCAGTAACTTAGTGAGACTCTGACTCAAAATAAAAAATAAAAAGGGCTGGGGTTGTGGCTCAGTGGTTAAGTGCCCCTGGGTTCAATTCCCAGTACCAAAAAAATTAAATAAATAACAAGGCACTAGGGACTGGGGTGTAGCTCAGTGTTAGAACTTGCCTAGCATGCATGAGAGTTTATCTTCCAGACCCAACAATGGGAAAATAAAACAGCATTATAAAGAAAATTGTGTATAAATTATCTTTGTGTATAATTGTTGACTAGTTGGTTTCACCACAGGGAATAAGGTAGGACCCAGACATTTCTTAGGGATCTCCAAATGACTGTATCTCTAGGTCATTTATCTTGAGTTAGTCAGTGTCCCTATAGAAAGATCCTGTAGAAATTCCCTAGGGTTGGTGACTCTGTTTTAGAAGTCCTCCTGTTTCTAGAATAAATGGATAGTATAACAATTTTGAGAGAAGTCACAAAAGAGCTCTCCCTTGGAGCCCCCCATTGAGCCAAATATTCTTTACATTGCTCCTTGGGTTGGTGAAGATGTTCAGAAGAGATTCTACAGTAACTGTAGCTGCTTCAAAGCCCAGCCAGTGTATCCACTTATTTCTCTATTTTACCTCTCCAGTTTATCGGGGTTTCTCCCAGGAACCTCTCCGGGATGTAAGGGGAGATAAAACAAAACAAAACAAGATCTCCACTCCACAAGTTATACTCCATGCACATATAATATGTCAAAATACACCCTACTGTCATGTATATCTAAAAAGAACAAACAAACAAAAAGATTTCCACTTTCCTTTAAAGCTTTGTCTGATAAAGTAAACTTGACCCTATAAGAAATGCTTAATTATTTTATTTATTTTATTTTTAAATCTGTCTCTATGATAGCCTTGCCATAGCCTCCTCTGCTTCCTTCCCTAGGTGGCCTTCAGGAGGATAATAAGAGAGGGACTTGGGCAATCTTATGGCTTTGAAAAAACAGGCTCTTTAGAATCTCATGGTGTCCTTGCACAATCAGAAACCCTCCACCAGCATTAAAAGACACTATCAATACAGAGAAAAGACAACTCACAGGATAAAATATTTGCATGTCATATATCTGATAGAGGATGAATATCCAGAATACCTGAAGAACTCCTACAACTCAAAAAACAAAACAAATCTGATTTTAAAATGGGCAAAGGACTTGCATAGACATTTTTTGAAAACAGATATACACAGGAAAAAAATGCTCAACATAACTAATCATTAGCAAAATTCAAACCAAACTCAGTAGATATTATTTCCAACCATTAAGATGATTAATATAAAAAAACACAATATAACAAATGTTGTCAAGGATGAAGAAAAATAGGAACCTTTGTACACTATTCAAAGGAATGTAAAATGGGTGGTGCAACCATTTTGGAAAACAGTATGTCACTTCCTAAAAATTTAAATGTAAAAATGTGAACATACTTAATGCTACTGAACTGTACACTTAAAATTGTTTAAATGGCAAATTTCATGTACCCACAGAAGCAGAAGGCCAATTTAAGGAATTTGAGCATCCATGGATTTTAAAAATCCTTGGGGGAGCCTGAAACTAATATCCAGTTGATACTGAGGAATGATCTATAAAAATAAAACTTTAAAACAGAGCAGACAATCCTGGGCTGAGGTTGTAGCTTCGTGATAGAGCACTTGTTTCGTATGTGTGGAGCACTCGTTGGATCCTCAGCACCACATAAATAAATAAAATAAAGGTATTGTGTCCATCTACAACTAAAAAAACAAAAACAAAAAACAAAAAAACAAAAACAGAGCAAGCAATCCTAAACACATGTACACCTAATCATAAAACTTCAAAATTAATGTGAAACAATTTGAATAGAGATCCTAGAAATGTACATGCTAGACATTATTCATGTCTTGGTTTAATGTTCTTTTTTCAAAGAGACTTTTAAACTGACCAGCTCTTTAGCTTACACTTGAAATAGCCATTCCTCTAAACATTCTGTCACTCTGTTGTATTTTTCTTTAGAGCACTTAGCCACAACCTAACATTTTAAAACTTTTTGGTTGGGACTGGGGTTGTAGCTCAGTGGTAGAGCACTTGCCTAGCATGTTTGAGGCACTGGGTTTGATCTTCCGCACCACATATAAATAAACGAATAAAATAAAGGTCCATCAACATCTAAAAAAAAAAAACAAAACTTATTGGTTACTTGTTTCTAGGCATTCTCCTTAACGAAGAATAAGCACTAGGGGGGCATCTTCATTGTTTTATCCATTTTATATACCCAGAGCGTAGATCTGAGTCTGGAACATTTTAGAAGATGTTCAACGACATTTGATGAATAAATAAATGGATTTATTTACTTTATTGTATTATTTAATGTTAAATATGTATTTAATATATTTAGTTATGGTATTTAATCTGAATTTAATTCTCCTCTTTATTATCATTTATCCACTCATTCACCAAGCCTCTACTTGTGTCAAGTTCTTTAGTCAGCATAAGAGGGTGACAAAGATATATGCTGTAAACTCATATACCATAAAGATATTCCTATTTCTTGAAGAATAAAATTCAAAATCCTTTAAGATTGGAAGCCCTAAATCCAAGGGAGAAAATAAGTTAGCCTTAAAAAAAAAACCTGAATAACTCAGGTTTGTTTTTAAAAATATGGAAGCGTGCTTCTAATTCCTTCTAGTCTTCCAAGGAGCCTAGCTCCTAAATTTTCCGCGACAAAACACTGCGCCAAGTCGGAGCCACCCTTGCTCAAAGCTCCTCCCGCGGCAACTGACAGCAGGGGAAATCCCATTGAAGCCCGCCTCCAGCCTCCTGTATGCTAAACTGATTGGCTAAACCCGGTGGGAATGGCTTTCGGCTCAGCCAATGCAAAAAGCAAAAGCTAAAGCTCGTGTAAACAAACCCAGAGGAGCTGAGCCTTGGGCTCCTCCCCCACGTGGAGGCCAGACGCGTCCTTGGCCCAAAGCCTATTCCGGATTAGCTCAGCGTCCTTTTAGTCAATCAGTCGGCGGTGCGGGGGAGGGTCTCCGGCAAGGGGGGCGTTCCAAACCCCCACCGCGAGGGAAAGAACTAAGGGAGTAAACGGACAGACGTTAAGACCAATCACAAGCTTAAACTTCTGAGGGAATAGGCGGGCACAGCTTCACACTTAGACCAATAAAAGCTACATATGCCCTTCTAGGTGAATGAGCGGCATCTTCCTCGGTCCAATAGACGAATGGGGCGGTGCCCGGCAACCAATGGCTTGGATTCGGGGGCGGGGTGAGAAGCCAGTGTGCAGTAAGAGGTAACCGGGCGAGTGTTAGTGGCGCTTCTCCCGTGCTGTGGCTCACGTTTTGGTACTAGAGGCCGAGACTGTCCTGGCGACTGCGACCATTGCGGCGACGGCTTAGGCTCCCCGAGGAGTGGCAGAATACGGTCTGGAGGAGGGACTTCTGGTTAGCACAGGTGGGCTCGAGTGCCGGAGCTACAAGGGAAAGGACCCTTGGATCTAGGGGCGTCCTGCGCCCCCTTTTAGACCGCCGTGGGAGCTGTAAGGGGCGGCGCGCGCCTACCCGAACACCTGTGGGGAGGGAAAGCCCGCGGGGTCCCACGTTGCACCTTTCGGCAAGAAGGGACGTCCGCTTGGGTCACCCTGTATCTCTGGGGAGCAGTAGAGGGTTTTAGACCTTTTTTTTTTTTCTCCGCGCAGGTGCTCTGTTCTCTCCCATCCAAGTTCCTGAGTCTCCTCAGTCCCTTTCTAACACTCGGACCGAATTCTCGGACATGTGGGCCCGCTCACTATCCCGGTGCACTACTGCTAGTAGCGCAAATTGACCCTTGCTGCATCCCCCGCCCGTTCTCCCCGGGGAGAGCGAGGAGTTGCGCGTTTACCCCTCCCCCATTGGCTGGACCCCGCGCATTTTCTGCCTATCTTCTACTCCCTCCACCTTTACCCCAGCCCTCATTCTTCATACCTAATTTAACTTAGAAACCCTGGCTGCTTCTCTTATGCTTTGTCTTCTGAGAGTGAGTCCATCGCCCTCTCACCCCCTAAATTTCATTCTCATTTTTCTTGGAAACTAACATTTTCCACTTGCTTCTTCCAGGCAGCTGGAAGGTAAACGCAAGAGAGACAGAAGAACTGGAAAGAGGCGGAATACACTGAACAGGGAACTTGGCAAGGTTGGGAACTTTAATCGCTTTGTTAAAGGTAAATTATTTTTGCCTCCTTTAAGATGGCATTTGATCATTATAACCTTTTAGGATCATTGTCCCGATACAGTTCTTTTGATGATAATTGTTGAAAATGCAGGTGAAAGGGGCTTATGGCAGCAACAGACCTAAAATGCAATATTTTTCAGTAGATGGAATTGGATTATACTTTAAAGAGCTTAACTAAAGCGTCAGCGTTTCCAGTTAAGGGCCTGGCTATCCTATCATAAAATACGGGACATACTTTAGTTGTACTGCAAGATGGGATTTGATCACACCCAACCTATGAATGGATAATAACAGCATTGAATCTGTTTAAAAACAACATTCCATAGTCTCTTTTCACCTTTGTATTCACCTTCATAGAATAGCTGCTTGGTGTTGGTTCTAGCCATATGTTTATAGATTATACTTCACACTGTCTTGTACTATTTATTTTAGCAGTGCTGGCATTTGAACCCAGGTGAGTATGCTAGGCAAGTGCTCTACCACCGAGTTACATTCCAACCCCCTAAATAAAATTATGCCCAGAGTTTTATAGGGAAAAACTAACCACTCTTAATTTTGATTTAAATTTTAGAAGTTTGAAAATATTAATTTAGATATTGAGCTGTGAGGATTTGGAGGAAATGAGAGTATATTGGGTTAAGACTGATAGGCCTCTTAGGCTATTTGTGTATGAGAGATCGAGCATATACACATGTACAAAACCCTATTCATTTCCATAATTCTTAGTTTTATGATTTTACATAAAATGGAATTGTTTTTCCCAGATCTCAGTGAAGAAATATAAGCTGTGAGTTTAACATCGTGTTCACTGTGTTTGGGCCAGGATTTTGTAAAGCTTTTGTGAAAAGAAATTTTTTTTTTCTTATTCTGCTTGTAAGATATATAAATATGCTTCCCTATGTTTTACTTATGGTAAGATTTTATCTTGTATAAAGAAAGATAAGAGTGAATTCAAAGCAATCTTTACTCTGAGGTGATAAGTTGTCTAATGGATCATATGTTTGAGTCTTGTTAATAAATTACACTCAGTAGAGCAAGGTCTTAAAACTAACAAATGTCCAGGTATTTCGAATAATTTATGTCAGAGTTATAACAGCCATCAAAGAAAACCCCCGGATAAGTTGCAGATCTCTGAGTTGATCACTATTGTGAGTTAATATAAGACTGCAGGTGGAAAACGACATTATTTTTGTAAAGTCTTTTCAGGTATGTTTGTGCTTAATAGTTATTCCTTTGCAAATTTCAGAGGACTATAGCTATGTTTCTTCCTAGAGACCTTGACCTTGAGGTGCTCAGTTTGGTGGAGGATAAACCTATAAATCAAGAATTAAATGCAGAGAGAGGTTCTGCAGTTCAGGGTGTGTACAGAATGCAGAGAAGCACTGTGGCACTGTGTTCTGGCCTCATCTATCACTGCTCTAGACTTCCCACAGTGCCATTTCCTGAACCTACTTATCTCCCATAGGTTTATAATCTTAAACCTAAAAACAACCCATCCTGATAGATTCTAATTTCTTTATTTTACAAAATAGACTTTTATAAAATGGGGTTCAAAAGTGTTCATGGATTTGCCTGGGGCCTCCTCACTAACAGGTGCCAAAGTTGATTCAAACCTTATCCCAGTTGGCCCTATAGCTAGGGCTTCTTGCACTGCACTGCCCCCTACTGTCTGTCCTCTGGTCATCTCTATATGAGAGCTGAATCTTTGAGCTGTGTCACCTATTGGACTTCAGCTTGAGATGTATGCAAGAGGCAGTAGATTTTTCACCACTGTATACTTATCCAGGAAAGACCTCAAGAGCACCACTTGTTAATTTTGGGGTTATACATAAATTTTAGTAAGTAAATGAATTTGCAAATATGAGATCCACAAATAGTGAGGATCAACCATGCTTCTAAGTGATCCTTAGAGACCATTTCATGGTACCCTCCCCAGATTCTCTGTGGAATGTTCCTTTAGCTTCTTTGATAATTTGTTCACTTATTTATTCATTCAACATATATTTAGTAAGTACTTACTATAAGCCAAGGTAGAGATTAAATTCTTGCTATGTGGATCTTATATTTGAGTTAGAAAGACAGCTAAATCTGGAGATGGAGGTCCAGGTTGAAATTATCAATTACCTTGACCAAGGTGACACCTGGTGTGCTCGTTCTCATGTTACCTTCCCAAGTATACTTCCAGAATATATCTGTTCTACTCTTATGAATAAACTTTTCCCTTTGAGCCTCTCTCCATTGACCTGTGTCAGTCTGTACTTGTCATTTGTTGATTTTGAGATCATTTGCCCATGTAACTGGTGGGATATTGTAGAATCATGGTCTTTGAATTCTGTTTCTGCTGTCTATCAGGTGGGTGAATTTGATCAAGTTCTTGGAATTTTGAGCCTGATTTCATATGTATATGTATTACATGTTAAACGCTTTTTAGATTTCAAGGAAGAGGCTCACACATATTACCTTTGGTGCTGAGTAGTAAATGTAAATTTGAATGGGAAATAATTTCAAGCATCCATGTTGTCTCTCGGTTCTAGAGCTTTTAAAACCTCATAGAACACTAACTCAACAGTATTTAGGATAGGATTTGAGCTCTAGCACCTGCTTTTTTTTTTTTTTTTTTTACTTTGTTCACCCAATATTTGTATTTTCCAAAAGAAAATAATCTGATTGGATTTGTCTGTCTAGATAAAATGAAACTTCCTAAAATGGAGGACCCTACAGGCAGAATTTTGAGCCAAGCCATATTCTTGGTTATTGATCTTCCTCAAGTTCAACCTGTATTATGTCCTAAGTTGAAGTGTTGCGCCCTTTTTTTCTTTCTTACAGCCCAAGAAGCAGGGTTGCTTTCATATATTATTTGTCTGACAACTATAGGATATATAAAACTCCTTAGAGTTCTTCAGACCCTATCTAGGGGCAGCAGTCTTAGAGTTTCAATCTTCTTTCCAATTCAAATGTCTTCTAACATGATCAAAGATAATAAGGCATCTACTAAAAAAGTAATCGACAGATATGCAATATATCTTCTTGGTGTTGCATTTAATATCTTATAATGTGATTATTCATATGGCTGTCTTCTAGACTATGAGCTTCATAAGGGCAGGATCCACAGCCTTGTCTTTCTATCCAGAGAAGGTATTGTTTAAGCTGATTCAGTCCTCCCCTGCCCCCATGGTGGTATTGAAGCACAGGTTTTGCATGTTGCTAAGCCTGGGCTTTACCACAGAGCTACATCCCTAGCCCTTGAACTCATTCTTAAGGAATGAGTGGGAATATTCTCTAGGTAAATGAAACCTTAAGATAGCATTCCATAGAGAGATCAGCAGATGCAAAGGCACAGATAGAAAAAGATGAAGTTTACAGAACACTACTGGTAGGCTGAAAAAACTTGATCAGAGGGTATGTCACAACTGAGTAAACCGTGGTGCTGCTTAGTAACTGGTGCTAGTTTTTCTCAGATTGTTGGCATGGTATCTGAAAGGATTTAGTAATACAGATGTTGAATTCTTGGAACTACTATATTGTAGTGAAATAATTGACTTCTTTACCATGTATGAATCTCTTGTGGGACATGTACTATTCAAGGTGCTGAAAATATAGTGAGACTTACTCATGGAGTTCACAGGCAAGCAAAAGAGATGAATGAACAACTGATTTGTTTTATGGCAAGTGAGATAATAGAGATTTTAATAAAATGCTATCTAAATCAAGAAAAAGGAGCAGTTAATAATATATAAAGTGCTGAGGATAAATCACTGGAATGAGATGATACTGAACCCTCTGAAGCACTATACAAATATAAGGCAGATAAAAGAAATATATCCAGCTTAATTTGAATTAACATTTTATTTTGTTTTAAACAGAAGTAGTCTGTTCTTATTGTTGTAAATAGAAATCACTGAACGGCAAAAGTGTGGGGGGGACTACAAAGTAATTCCTAGATATTGTCATCCTGAATCAATGGTTAATGTTTTGATGGATATATTTTATACTTTACATGCATATTCATGTGTATACATAAATACATATGTATTTTTAATGGAAATGGGTTTATTCTGTGTGTTTTATTTAGTCATTTCACTTTTATGAGCTAAATCCCCTAAGGGTATAATTACTACATATTACTGTACATAATGAGAAATAGAAAAGGGGCACTTTTCAGCCTAGTGAACCTGTAACCTTATGATGATTTCATCTCCTGAACCATTTTAGAGGCTTCATCAAAGACATTAGAAATGAATTAGATGTGTGTAGGTGGTTATACTTGGCATTATTGTTTATATGGTAGAGATTACTTCAGTATCCATCAGAGGGAACTAGTTAAGTAAATTGGAAAATCCAAACCATGGAATATTGTGTACTTTTAAAGAAGAGTGAAAAAGACCTATGTACTGATATAGAAGACCTCTAATATATATTGTTTTTAGTATATTACTTTTTTGTGTTGAGAGAGAACAGTACAATATACATGCATATTTGCAAAAAAAAAAATTCTGAAGACATAAGGAACCAATTGAAGTGTTTATCTGTGGAAGGAGAATAAGAGTAGAAATGAGATTTTGCCATTATGTGTTTATGGAGGCATATATTTTAATTTTTTGGAATTATGTGTTTGTATTACCTTTTAAAAGTAAGTGAGTGAGTGAATGACATGAAGTTATTAGAAATCAGAAGAAAGGATCTGGGGGCTGCTAGTCTTTTTGGTATCAGTGAATACATAGCAGAAACAGCAAAGATGGGAATATTCACCCCAGGAAATGGGGAGACAGTCTTTTTTACTTCTTTCCCTCAGTTTTGTATACTTTTAAAATATTTTTGAGAGCAATAAAATAAAACAAATGTTTCCAGACTGTAGTCTGCATTATTTTAATAGTGACTTTATTTTTCATATTCAGTTGTAGTATTTTTATATATTTCCATTTAATATTCTACTTCAATCACACTTTTAATCAATTTAAATTTACCTAATTGTGTTTTCTCTGTGGTACT